AGGAATGTGTCTAATTCAGAAGAGCCTAGGAAATATGAAAAGTAGAGGAATTGGGTTTGGTACTTTGGAAGAATCTTGGAATTTTTGAACTAGTATTCCACAGAAAGAAGAACAAGCTTATATGTTTACTTCAGGAAAGAAGGTTAAAATTAATGGGTGAAAGTTAGAAAAATGTATAATTTCGTTCAACATAAGGACAACTTTTATAGCAGTCCTGTCCAATATGTGTTAAGTTGACATGGAAAATATTGTATTAAGTATCACTGCAAGTATATAGTCACTTTCTAAAAGATTTTTTTTTTTTTGGCAGTAGGAATAATATATAATTGATAAATGGCCTGCCTTTCCTTGTCTGCAGAAATTCTATGTATTTGCGTGTTCTACAGTATAGTTTTCTTTCTTTTTAAATTTAAAAAAAAATGATTTATTTATTTTTATTTGCTCATTCATTTATTTTAATTTGACCAGAGAGAGACAGAGAGAGATGGAAAGTGAGAAAGCAAGCCACCAGGTCTAGGACTCAAACCATGGTCGGCCATGTGGGAGTGTCTAGCACCTTAGCCACCACACCACCTACTGGACCTCTCTACAGTACAGTTTTCTAGCAAGTAAAGCAGTAAGTTGTTTATTTTGAACATATCTATTCTTTAATTAAGAATACATTAAATGTATACAGTTTTACAGAGAGCTGTATTCTGGTTTTTTTCTTTTTTTTGGAGAGGTTTTTGCTCTAGGGCGCATATGCTCACCAGAAAGACAGAGAGAGACAGAAAGCAAGAAATCACCCCCCGCAGGGGGATGGCCATGCCGCAATTCCTTCTCCATTCTCCTCTGGGATCTTGGTCTGCACACAAACCCACCCACCCGGCGTGAGTTTAAACACTGGGTCCAAGACTTGAACTGCATTTGACTACATGGGAGTCCAGCGACATAGCCATTATGCCAACTGGTCCCAAAGTGCTGTATTCTTATTTTTAAGTAACTCTGTATAATACGGGTTGAGTATCCTTTATCTGAAATTCTTGAGACCAGAGATGTTTCAGATTTGTGAGTTTTTTCATTTTGGATATTGGAATATTTTACATTCATGAAACAGCTTGGGGATAGGACTCAACTTTAAAAACAAAATACAACTTGTATTTCATATATATTGTATATACATTGTCTAAAGGTAATTTTACACAGTAGTTTTTATATTGCATCATGTCACATGATGTAAAGTGTTGAATTTTCACCTTGTGGCATCATGTTGGGGCTCCAAAAGTTTTGGATTTTGGAGCATTTTGGATATTTATTAGAGATGCTCAACATGTATCATCAAGTAATAAAAAAATAAGCTGTTAAAATTCAGCAAGTTGAGAGAAATCTAACAGTACAATTAGTAGTTTTCCAATATTAGTAAATTATACTCCTCATATAATAACCCAAGCTACATAATTTATATGAAACAAGAAAATGATTTTCACCTCTTTTTTAAACTATTATTAAATAAAACTATAGAGTGAATGGTAATTTATTGGTTTGAAAGCATAGAAAGTAAATCTGTTGTCTGAAGAGGAGGTTTGACTGTTTTATATTGTTTATTTTTCTTTCCATTTCATTTCAGAATCTTTCTGAGAAAATTTTTCTGTAGGGTAAATCTAGCAAATATTTATAATACTCAACTATAATAAAAACATTCTTTGCTGCATAAAGGGGATAGTAGTCAAAACGTAGAGGTTTCTGTCTCATATCATTCCCTTTCAGAGACAGTCCTGTTTGCTCTGCTTTTCCAGATAACTTTATATTCATGTTATCGAAAAAAAAAGAAGAAAACAAAACAAAACTAAATACCTTGTTAGTTACAAGTAGATTTGGGTTGAAATAGTCATTCTGCCACAAATTAGGTATATGACTGGACAAGTTTCTAAGCTTATCCAATTCTTGATTTTCTTATCTATAAAATGATGGTAATAAAACTGGGATTGTTGGGAAAATTAACTAAGTTATTACTCACCATGTCTCGTTTATATCATTATCATCATCCTCATGTTTGTGTTAGGTATTTCTTATTGGCACGTACTGATCCAGATCCCAAGGCTCCTGCTGGTAAAGCCTTTACTGGATTTATTGTGGAAGCAGATACCCCAGGAATACAGATTGGAAGAAAGGTAAAGTGTGTATTTATCAGTGATTAATGCCTCAAATATTATTTCAACTATAAATATCAAAATTACTATTTAGTTTCCTTTAATGAAAGCATCTTGTTTTAGCTTTTTTTTTTTTTTTTTAAAAAAAGCTATGTTTTGATGATGCCAGATGAAGTAATCTGTATGTTGCTGCAGATATTAAGAATAGTCATTTTGAGACCAGCAGTTAGCGTAATGGCTGTGTTGCTGGACTCCCATATAGCTGACCGTGGGTCGAGTCCTGGACCCCGTGACCTAAACTCATGCCTGGCACGTGTGTGTGCGTGCCCAAGATCCTGAGAGGAGAATGGAGGAGAGGGGATTGCGGTGTGGACATCCCCCATGGGGGGTGGTTTCTCACTTTCTGTCTCTCTGTCTCTCCCTGTCTGTCTGGCGAGTGCACAGGCCCTATAGCAAAAAAAACTCTCAAAAAAAAAAAAAAAAAACCTTCAAGGTCCAGTGAATTAGTCATTTCAAGTTGTTTTAAGAGAGTGGCTTTTCATGATACCAACCTGTGAAGGAGGCTGATCATATCCTCATAGCAACCTTTCACTAGAATAAAATACAATTATCCCCACTGTATAGAATAAAACAATGTGACCCAAGTGAATTACCTGTGATCATATAACACTAAGAAAAATCACTGCATGAAAAAAGTGCAAGAATAGCAGGGAGTCTTGATATAGAAAAGCAAGAAAATTTTATATAAATAGCAAAAGGTAATTTAACATTTTTTTTAATTGCCAGAGGGAACATGCTTTTGCCAGAGAGAAACAGAGAGACCAAGAGAAAGAGAGGGAGAGAGAGAAAACACCACCTAATGGGTTTTTTTAAAACTGTAATCTCTTCTCTTCTGGCTAATCAGGTTTGGGACACAAACAACACACACATGTACTAGGCATATTTTCCAAGCTGCCAGAGCTGGGATTTGAACTATATGGTCAGCCATGTCGAATCCATCTCCTTTAACCACTATGCTAAGGGACCTTCATTAGGGATGCTCAACATGTATCATCAAGTAATAAAAAAATAAAGCAGCTGTTAAAATTCAACAAGTTGAGAGAAATCTAATAGTACAATTAGTAGTTTTCTAATATTAATAAATTATACTCATATAATAACCCAAGCTACATAATTTATATGAAACGAGAAAATGATTTTCACCTTTCTTTTTTAAACTACTAGTAAATAAAACTATCGATCGAATGATAATTTATTTGTTGAAAGCATAGTAAGTAAATTTGTTGTCTGAAGAGATTTGGAAGTTTTATATTTATTTTCCCTTATGTTTCATTTCACAATCTTTCTGAGAAAATTTTTCTGGAGGGAAAAATTAGCTTATTTGATAAGTATTACAGGGGCCAGCAGGTGGTGTAGTGGTTAAGTCACTGGATTCCCACATGGCCAACCACAGTTCAAGTCCCAGACCTGGCAGCTTGAAACTCAACATGGAATACGTGTGTGTGCATGCCTAAAATCCTGTGAGAGTGGAGGAGAAGTGATTGCAGCGTGGCCATCCCCCAGAGGTGATTTCTCCCCTCCATCTCTCTCTGTCTCTTCAGTGAGCACACAGCACTATAGTAAAAATCTCTCAAAAAAAAAGAGAAAAGTGTTACAATCTGAATATTTGGGGATAATTCCTTATCTAATGTAGCCTAAAGAGGGACCAGCAGGTTCTCTCTCTCTCTCTCTCTCTCTCTCTCTCTCTCTCTCTCTCTCTGTCGTTTCTGGTGAGGGCACAAGCCCTGTTACAAATTTAAAAATAATAATGATACGTAAAATTATTATTTTTTTTAAAAAGTGGCATAAAGAGAAAAGAGTTTTAAGCTTGACCAAACAAAGAGGGAAGGAAACAAAGTCATTAAAGTAATCCCAGTGAGATTACAACTCTGGGAGCCAGAGGGGACATGGTTGTTAAGACACTGGCTACCACATGGCTGATCACAATTTGAGTCCCAAACTGGGTGGCTTGAAAATCACGCTGGGCATGTGTACGCCTTAAATCCCAGAAGAATGGAGAAGCAATTGCAGCATAGCTACTACCCCTTGGGTATGATTTCTCACCTTCTCTTTCACAATCTCTATCTCTGGCAAGTGCACACACCCTAAAATGAAAACCTAAATAATAATAATAATAATGAGAGAAAGTAAAAAAAGATTACAACTCTGAGAATATGAAGAGGAGACTCAATTTTCAAGCTTTTTCATAAAATGAATTTTTAAAAAAGAAAAGCTAATAGTGACCAAATGATATTTTTAATCTAAGGAAAAGGAGAATTATAGAAAGTAAGAGTTACTGTAGACCAGCACTGGTGGCACAGTGGTAACACAGCACTCTGATGCTGAAGTCATGTGGGAAGGTCCTGAGTTCACGAGTCACAGTTTCCAATACAGGCTGTGTGAGCATGAGTGTGCCCGTGATCTTGGCAGGTTGAGGCTGGGGGAAAATTGTGGCATGAAGACACTGTTCAGGATGTGTGTGTGTGTCTCTCTTTTCTCTTTCTCAGAAGAAATAAATACCTAAAAAACAAATTACTTAAAGGTTACATGAATATATCCTCTTCTTCCCAGATGGATAAAGGTTCGGATTATCTGATCACTCATTAGAATAGGGTGGCATTGGGGCCAGCAGATAGCGTGGTGGTTAAGGTGCTGGATTCCCACATGGCAGACTATGGTTCAAATCCTGGACCTGGCACCTTGCCCTCTTCTCCCCATAAAAAAAAAAAAAAAAAAAGAGAGAGAGAGAGAGAGAGAGAGAGAGAAAAGAAAGAAAAAGAAAAAAAAAAAAGAATAGGGTGGCATAGCCGGACCTGGAAAAACTAATTTGAATGGATCAAGTTAAATGAATTTCTAAACCTGTTACGTGTATTTGTAAAATCCTGCTTTATTAAAACCTGTTAGCATCTCTCCATTGTACCCACACTTTCAATGCGTAAGAGTATATATTGGATTGTTGGAAAAGTCATGATATAATTTTGCATAGAAAAATATAGAAAAGAATATGCATGACTTTTCTGATGACCCAATAAAAGGGATAAGTATTTAAGAAGCTTAATGTCACAGAATTTTATGTGAAACAAACTTTATGTTACAGATAACTTCTTTATGTCACAGAATTTTAATAATTAGTAATTTAATTTTTATTATTATTATTTTTTTTAACTGTGATACAAGCACTCATGAGAGAAACAGTGTGAAAGCAATCGCTCAGATTCAGGACTCGAATAAGAGGACACATGGGAATCCAGCACCTTAACTACCACGCCACCTGCTGGTATCTATGACACAGAATTTTACATGTTTTTACATGTTATTTTACTTCAGTCTGTTCACTAAATATTAAAAGTGATACACAAGGGGCCAGCAGGTGGTTTGGTGGTTGAGGTGTTGGACTCCCACATGGCTAACTGCAGTTTGAGTGTTGGACTTGATGACTGCTTTCTTACTTTCCCTCTCTCTCTGTCTCTCTCTGGTGAATTGGAAAATAATAATAAGTAAAATAAAATATATAGCTCTTTTAAGAAAAAGTGAGATCCAAGTGAAATAATTTACTCAAGGTCACCATCTTAGAGGCAGAGTCGAGATCAGTACTGAGGTCTGCAGGAACTTGCCCATTGCAGTTTCTGGCATTATTGTGCTTTATTTTCTTTGGAGAGGAGATATTAAAAGTAGACACCACATTACAAATAAAGCTGATATTGTCATATGTAACAAAATATAAGTACTAAGACTCTTACTTGTAAGAAATTAGTTTTTTATTTATGTAATGAATCCCATTTCCTTCTGAGGAATGGTTGCTAGCAATTCGGCTTATGGCCCTTCTCTAGAAAATGTAAAGTGCCTAACAGCTTTAATTTTTTTTCAGTAGTAAATTACTCCTGATTTTCTAAATCTTGCTGTTATAATTTCATTTTCTTTTTTTTCCCCCCTTTACTCATGAAAGAGCATGTGCATGAGAGAAGGAGCTATGAGCACCTTTCCCTGGGTCTGGTCTCACTGCAGACCCGTTCCTTCAGTCTTCTAGCCCATCAGATGCTGGGCACTATTGCATATGCTTGGCATGTTTCAGACTGACTGGGCCAAGGATTCAGACATCAGTCACCATGTAGGCTTTCTTGATAAGCCCATTACTACTGTGCTATGAAATTGGCCCTTAGTTTTACTTTTTTGTTTTCTTGCCCAACTGTTTTACTTAAAAAATCAGATTCAATTAGTACTTATTATTTGAGTGCATGTAACAGTCTACACAGTATTCTACATATCTGGGATACCATAAGGATCAAAAAAGACAAAAATCCCTGTCCTTGAGGAGCCTGCTTCTAGTGAGGTAGATAGATAATTGCATTTTATATAGTTAAGCCTCCTTAAGTCTTTTTCTTAAACAAATGGGTTTTTCACTCTCGTGAGATTTGATATTTTCAGAATGTTTGGTGTTTTAGAAATACATTGTTTATATAAGTCCTGGAAGCATTTTTTTTTTCCTTTTATTTGACCACATAGAATGAGAGAGAGAGAAGAAAAGTGAGAAAGCAAACAGCCAGGTCTGGAACTTGAACCACGTTTGGCCTCGTGGGAATCCAGCACCTTAACCACTGTACTATCTACTGGCCTCAGTCCTGGAATCATTATGATTTTAAACGTTAGTGGAGTTTGGGGGTGAGTATGAGTACAGGAAAGAGTGAGTAGTGTTTTCTCTTTACCTCTGAATGGTAGTCTTAGGTACTAGAGTTTATTAACTTACAAAGACAAAAATAAAAGGATGTTGCTTTCTTTCAGGAACAAAATATATTTTATTGTCACTATTTCCTCAAACCTGGATATCAACTATTAATATTGAAGCCAGCAAATTAAAGGATTATTTTATGGCTCCATTTGCCATTGTTCCTTATCCTGTTTGTTAAAATTTTGATTTGTTACTGTTGTTAAAGAGTTTTGGGGACCAGCAGTTGGCATAGTGACTATGTCACTGGACTCCCATGTAGTTGACCACAGTTCGAGTCCTGGACCCAGTGGCTTAAACTCACTCTGGGTGGGTGTTGTGCACACGTGCCCAAGATCCTGAGAGGAGAATGGATGAGAAGGGATTGCGGCATGACTATCCCCCCAGGGGGGTGATTTCTCGCTTTCCGTCTGTCTGTCTGTCTGTCTAGCATACGCCCCCTATAGCAAAAACCCCTCCAAAAAAAAAAAAAAAAAGACAAAGAGTTTTGATGTGTGCATTTGCTCAAATGATTCAGGACAATGCTACTAGTTACATACAGAAAGAGAAATAAAGTACATTTGTCAAAATGTCAACAATTTGTAAATCTAGATAAAGGGTACATAAGTATTCATTATACTACTCTTTTTAAATTTATTTATTTATATTAATTTACTATATCTCACTATAGCATACAAAATGAGATTGTCCATCCGGAATACACTGTATATTGGCTCAGTCAAGCACATCAACATACGTATTATCGTCAACAAATAATTTTCCATTTCTTGTTTCCTGGATACTTTGCTTTTTTTTTCCATCCTAGCTGTGCTTGCTATTGAAAATATTTAGATTAATTAAGATCTTTAGTGAATCATAATACTACCATTACAAGTCTTCTGGTGGTTTGAACATTTTCAAAACAAAATGTTGAGGGAATTTAGCTAGTTTAGCAGTTTCTTATAAAGTTAAGCATAAACTTAGCACATATCCAGTACTCCTAGGTGTTTAGTCAAGAAATTGAAATGAAGATCTATACACGAGTGTTTATAGCATCTTTAATGATTGACAGAAAGCAGAGAGGGATGTGTGTGAACTGTGAATGGATAATGTATATATGGTACATACATTTAGTGGAATACTACTCAGCAGTCAAAAAAAGTATTGATCATGTAGTGACATAGATGAGTCCCAGAAGCAGTATGCTAAGTGAAAAGTCACACACAAAAGGCTGACCTTTTTGTCCCACTTTCACGACATTCTGGAAAAGGAAAATTGTATGGAGAGAAATCAGATCAGTAGTTGTCAGGGAGCAGGGATAACATAAGGGAATTCACTACAAAGGGAGAACAAGGTAAATTTTTGGGGTGCTGAAATATCCTGTATCTTGATTGTGGTGGTGGTTACACACATGTACACTTGTCAAAAGTATTAGAAATATATATGGCAAAAGAATGAACTTTTCTGTATGTAAATTCTACCTCATAAAGCTGTTTTTTTGTTTTGTTTTTTTTTTTTTGAGAGGTTTTTGCTATAGGGTGCGTACACTTGCCAGAAAGACAGAGAGAGAGACAGAGAGACAGAAAGCAAGAAATCACCCCCGGGGGGGATGGCCACGCCGCAGTCCCTTCTCCATTCTCCTCTCGGGATCTTGGGCACGCACACACACGTGCCCGGCACACGCGCCCAGCCTGAATTTAAGCCACCGGGTCTGGGACTCAAACCGCAGTCAGCTACATGGGAATTCAGCGACATAGCCATTATGCTAACTGCTGGTCCCTATAAACCTGTTTTTAAGAAAGCACTTGAAGAAAACAGAAAATCAGTTTTTACTAAGTAGATGACTTTACTAGCTGTATTAGGTAAGCTAAGATTAAGTCCCAAATCAGATTATATTTGTGAATTTTTTTTTTAAGAGAAGTTTTTGCTGTAGGACACACGTGTGCTCACCAGAAAGACAGAGACAGAGAGACAGAAAGCGAGAAATCACCCCCCAGAGTGATGCCGCAATCCATACTCCTCCATTCTTCTCTCTTGATCTTGAGCATGTATGCACATACGCCTGTTGTGAGTTTAAGCTGCCAGGTCCCAGACTCAAACCAGTTGACTGTGTGGGAGTCCAGTGACATAACCATTATGCCATCTGCAGATCCCCTGAAATGTTTTTCTTGGCACTTGTAAAAAAAGATACCTTTTGTGGCTAGGCAGTACTACAGTAGTAATGTGACTGGACCCAAATGGGTAAAGTTCTGGGTTCATGTCCCAGGACCTACCTGAGTACTCCTGGCACCCTGTGATCTAGGCCAGCTGAAACTGGGGGGCGGATTGTGGTGTGAAGACCCTGTTGTGGGTATCTATCTCTCTCAGATTAGAAAAAAGATAGCTTTCAAACATATAATGAAATTTGTTTTTGTAAATGTTATATTTTTATAGGTCTTTATTGTTGATTTCAGAGTTGGTGAACCTTTTTTTTTTAAAGAAATAGATGAGACTGTATTCCAGTAATGTTTTATTTTCAAAACAGGTATCAGAAGCCATACTTTGTTCACCCCTGTTTTAGATAATTGCAAAAAGCCATAAAACAATGATTAAAGCAAAAGTTGATGCAAGCTTATAAAGTCTTCCTTAAAATATATTGATTTTCTTGTTAGGAATTAAACATGGGCCAGCGATGTTCTGATACAAGAGGAATTGTCTTTGAAGATGTGAGAGTGCCTAAAGAAAATGTTTTAATTGGTGAGGGAGCTGGTTTCAAAATTGCAATGGGAGCTTTTGATAAAACTAGACCTCCAGTAAGTAATATGAGTTCTATAGAATCTATTATATATTACATTAAATAAGTAATTTTCTTTTAACATTTTATGGTTGGTGCGTTTTACTTTTTTAATATATGATTATTTTAAAGGTGGAAAATACTGTTTTCTTTATATCTTAGAATTATTCAACTTTTTTGCTTTATGGAAATGACAGAAATCATTTTAACAGTGCGAATTTATCATAGTTGCTGCTAGATTGTCAGAGAGGGAACCCATACTTAACTTGATAATTACTATTTCTGTATATCCATTTTCTATTACTATACTCATTAAGTATGTTTCTCCTAAGAAGGGAGAAAAACGGGCACAAATTGCCCACTTCTCTTAAAGAGAAGTAAGGACTGTTCTCTCAGCTAAGACCCTGTACCTTAGAAATGCCTTCTGTTACCTTTAATTCATAAATAGTATAAACTTAAGTTCTTGTCTTCCTCCCCTTTCCAATTTTCCTGTTGCCTTAAACTAGGAGTTATTTTCTCTATTAGTAATCCCTTAATTTAGAATTTTAGGCAAATAGCTGTATATTGTGTGTTTTAAAGACATCATGAACTTTTGCTTTATACAATGTTACACTCCTAGGTAGCAGCCGGTGCTGTTGGATTAGCACAAAGAGCTTTGGATGAAGCTACCAAATATGCCCTGGAAAGGAAAACTTTTGGAAAGCTACTAGTAGAGGTAATTTTTATCCTTTTTTTTTAGTTTGGCTATTGGGTGCATATGCTCACTAGAGAGAGAGAGAGATAAAAAGTGAGAAATCACCCCACCCCCCAAGAAAAATGTCCATGCCACAAACCCTTCTCTTCCATTCTTCTCTCAGGATTTCAGACATGCATGTATACATGCCTGGTATGTTTTTTAAGCCCAGAGGTCTGGGACTTGAACTGCACAGTCAGCCATGTGGGCTCCATGCCCCTGGCTAGCCTAATCATTGTACATCTTATAGCATACAGTATGGTTTTTCTCAGCATGTGTACATGTGTTGTATGTGTACATGTCAATCAAAGATATTACCATATGTCATTTTCAACAGATAACTTTACATTCTTATATGTTTTTTCCTTGAGCCCCTCCCATCCATCCCCTACTCTCCACCTTTTCCTATATAACATCTGGTATCTATGCTTGCCCTCTCTGCTATTATATCTTTGAATTTTTGAATTTCTGCCATAGATTTGGGATATGTTTTATAATGGGAACTGCTATTTAATTCCTTCAACAAAGAGTAATTAAACGCTTATTATATTAAAATACTAATACAGTCACTCATTGCTTAATGATAGGGATACTCTTGGAAAAATATACCATTAGGCACTTTTGTTGGGCAGACATCATAGAGTCTACTTACATAAACCTAGACAAGCCAGCAACAAACCGACGGTATATGATAAAACCTGCATGCTCCTTATGTAACTACCATCACTTATGATAACCATAACTGGCCAAAACATCTTTATGTGGTGTATGACTGCCAGTGAACACTTGCCTTATTCTTGTAGGCAGTATTCTAAGTACTTTACATTTATTCAGTCATTTTAATTCTCATAATACTGTGCAATAGGTGCTGTTATTTCTGTTTATTACATGTAACAGCATTAGACCTAGCTAATAAATGGTGGAACCAAGATTTGAACCCAGTAGTTACTTATTTAAAGAACCTGTTTTTGGGGCCAGCAAGTGGTGCAGTGGTTAAGGCACTGGACTCCACATGGCTGACTGTGGTTCAAATCCCAGACCTGGTGGTTTACTTTTTCACTTTCTCTTCTTCTCTCTGGTGAATTAAAAACATAATGATAATAAACAAAATTAAATTTATATATATATATATAATATACATTTCTATAAATATTCCCCCTTGTTTTTCTTTAAATTTATTTT